TGAGCCAGAGATTCCTCTGTTAGGCATACACCAAAAGGAGGACAAGGCCAAAATATTTATAGAAAGCATTTTTTAAGCTCTATTTGTATATTATATATTTACAGAAAGCATTTATTATGCTCTTACTATTAGCATATTGTATATTTATAGAAAGTATTTATTAAGTTCTTACTATTTGTGTATTATATATTTGTAGAAAGCATTTGTTAATCTCTATTTGTATATTGTATATTTATAGAAAGTACTTATTAAACTCTTACTATTTGCATTTTTTATATTTATAGAAGGCATTTATTAAGTTCTTGCTATCTGTATATGTTTGTAGAAAGTATTTATTAAGCTCTTTGTGTACTGTATATTTATAGAAAGCATGTATTAAACTCTTACTATTTGCATACTGTATATTTATAGAAAGCATTTATTAAGCTCTACTTATATATTGTATATTTATAGAAAGCTTTTATTAAACTCTTACTATTTGCATATTGTATATTTATAGAAAGCATTTATTAAGCTCTTATTATCTGCATATTACATATTTATAGAAAGTACTTACTAAGCTCTACTGCATAATTCTAGAAAGCATTTATTAAGCTCTTACTATTTGTCAATAACTGTTCTAAATACTAGGGAGGGGATACAAATACAAGCAAGCAAAACATTGCCTCACCTCAAGGAGTTTACATTCTGATGAGGGAAAAGAACACCTAAGGGGGGCTCGGAAGGGAACATCGAGAGAGACAGTAATACATGTGTATTCTATGGTTGCATGGTGTGGAGATGGTTTACAAATGACATGTAAGCCTGGATCTAGGTAAGATAAGGCCAAAGCAGATCTATCAAAAATTTGTTGTTGTTGTTGAGCCATTTCAGATATGTCTGCCTCTTCGTGACCCCATTTGGGGGTTTCTTGGCAAAGACACCAGAGTGGTTTGCCATTTCCTTCTCCAGTTCATTTGACAGATGAGGAAACTGAGGCAAACAGGGTTAAGTGACTTGTCCAGGATTACACAGCTAGTAAGTGTCTGAGGCCAAATTTGAACTCAGGAAGAGAAGTCTTCCTGACTCCAGGCTTGGCATTCTATTCACGGCACCACCTAGCTGTCCTAGATTTATTCATTAAATGCTTATAATAACTACAATGATAAATTTTGCCCCTCAAAACCTTCTAATTAAAATTTTGCATTATATAATTATGGTTATAACCTATAAAATTTTATTCTACCTATAATTATGAAAACTTTAAATATAAAATGAAATAATTCCAACTATAAAATAGTTACAAATATTTTATGTAGAATATTTATATTTATAGAACAAATATTTTGTAAGAATTACAAGTAGTATAGCAAGACCTCTTACACTTATTATTATCTGAAAGACTTCATATTAAATGCATTTTACAAATTTTTGTTGAATATAAATAACATTTTAAATTAAATAAGTTACAACTTGGAAGATATTTAATACAATATAACAATCATATATAAACTTAATTTCAATGTTAGACTTTTTATTTGAACAAAGATTTGCAATATTTGGCTCAACACAGGATAAATACAGTCTTAAATTTGATTCTGCATCAAGTTTATTCTTGTGTTTTTGTTTAAAACAAGAATAAAGTGAAAATGCTTGCTCACACAAATACATGGTTGAAAATAGTAGGAGAGTTCTGCAGGGTCTCTTGTTGAAGGATAGAAATTCATTTAAAAATTTTTAACCACCTAACCAATTGATTGAATGAATAGCTATTTACAACACAAAATATTTACTTTTCTTCTGGCTAATAACAAGTGTTATGTTATTGATAAATGTACTTAACAATCAATTACATATATTGCTTTGTTTTAAACAATGTTTATATGTAAACTAATGTGAGAAGAGAAACTCCTCAGATGTTTCTTCTCTTGTACTACTGGTGTGTTGGTTACAGTCTCATAGAAACTCTGCTGAACAACTCTTCAGTGATGCCAACCAGTTCATCTGAGAATCTGCCAAATAGAAGAATAATAAACATAAATGGAGAATGAATATAAATAGAAAAATAGCTCTAATTCTGGAATGAGAAGCAAAATAAAGCTTCTTTCTGTAGAATGTTTGTGACGGTTTCAAGATGGCTTGTAATGCGCACTGAGATCAGTGTTTTCAAACTGCCAGGCAAATGCAAATGTTTGTAATTTTTTGAACACATGATGACATAAGTGATTAGATATAATTAGAAGGGAATGGAAGAGAATGAGGGAGCTACTCTAGTGATGAAGAAAATGTTGTTAAGGCAGGTTAAAAGCGTGTCATTTTGTGCATATGTTTTCTCTTAAAGAGCTGATTGTTAAACATTTGCCCACCCACCCCTGGTTGGAAGAGACCTCCCCCTTCTCTCATTTTTCAGAAAGGAGACATGACTTGCCCATGTTCACACAGCAAGTGAGTGGGTAAAGCTGGGCCTCAAACTCAGGTCCTTCTGACTCCAAGTCCAAAGCTCTTTCTACTATCCCACTATATGATGAGGAGGTTGAATTAGATGACCTCTAAGATTCCTCAGGCAGCTAAAAAGTGCAGTGGATGGAGTGCTGGGCCTGGGGTCAGGATGAGCTGAGTTCACATCCATCCTCAGACACTTATTAGCTGTGTGACCCTGGGCAAGTCACTTAACCTCTGCCTCAGTTTTCTCAACTGTAAAATAGGGATAAAATAGCACCCATCTCATCATGAGTATCAAATAAGATAATACTTGTAAAGCATTCAACATAGTGCCTAGAATGTAGTAGGTGCTCCATAAAATGCTAATTTCCTTTCTTCCATCCATTTAGTCTAACATCCTATGGCTCTGTGAGATGATTTTTGCCTAAAAGGTTTGCAGCAAAATTTGATAAATCAGGGGTTACTGACCTTTTAGTCCCTCTTAGCAATCTGGGTAAACCCATATATCCTTTCTTAGAACAATATTTTTAAATGCATAAATACATAGTCTTACAAAGGAGCCAATTATATTAAAATATAATTATAAAAATATTTTTTGAAATTCTGGCATGATTGCACATGTGTAACCTATATCAAATTGCTTACCCTCTCAAAGAGGAGGGAGGGGAGGGAGAGAATTTGGAACTCAAAATTTTTAAAAACAAATGCTAAAAATTGTGTAATTGGGGAAAAATAAAATATTATTTTTTAAAAAGCCAAAAAATAAAAATAAAAAGCACAAGTTCATGGACTTCCTGAAAACTATCCGTGGACCCTTTTGGGGTCAGTTGATCACAGGGGAAGAACCCTTGTGCTAAGGAATAGCTCACCTATCCAGCATGGCTAGGGGCTTACCTTTCATATTTGAAATCTGGTCAGCTGCAAGCGCAAGATTTCACCCAGTAGCTGAAAGTAACTTTGAACCTGGTTGGAAGGGCCAACTTTATCTTGAGGATTTCTCTTGCACCTTAAAATAATGCACAGTGAGAATTTTTCACTGTGATTTCTTGGCAAAAATGAAGTACTCTCTTGGGTCAGAGAAAGAAGTATTAAAAGGAAGGGTCTTGGGTTTCAGAATTTTCACACAGGCAGGGTACCGTGCCCCCTAGACAGAACTGGATTGTTTTGGCAATCAGTGAACTAATCATTGGAGGGCAATGGAAGTTTCCATGCTGGCACCTCTCAAATGAAAAAGTACAATCTGGTCCTCCTGAGTCAAATATTCTGCATGCCGTTTCTAATTTGGATGGCTGTTCTGGAAAACTTGATTAGGGCCTCGAAAACTAGGATTTTTATTGGGGATGACTGAGTTATTGCCAGAGTTTGTTTTTCAAGCGAGTGAACCTAATCCCAGAAATAGTTCCAGGACAGAGCTATTATGGATGCCCTTGTGATGGCCGATGGCAAATAATATGCAACAGAAACGTGGAGCCAGCAGCCGCCAGTATTGATTTTGGAAGGGCTGCCCAAGCATTGTAAACAACTGCAGAAATGATTTCTGATCTTGGCAAAACTTTTGTTTAGAGAAGGTTGGGCTTCCCCCCACCCCCCTTTTCAAGGTAGTTTTATCCTATATTTGCAAAAATGCTAACTTCTTGTTTCCTCTTCTGAGGCACTATTCTACCCCAGAGCCAGATGAAAAGTTTTTTTGCATTTATTTAATGCCCATAGTTTTGTTGGTTGTTGTTTTAATTGCTACAGGGCTACTGAACAAATATTCCTCAATAAAAAGACCTTCGGCATCTATTAAGGGTTTGGTTATATTTGCATCTATGGCTAAAGTGGCTTTTAAATTCTCTACCCCCCCCCATTTATTGCATTTTAGACTTGTAGAACAATAAAAGTCTGCACATGGGGATCAGGAAAGCATTTTTTAAAAACACCTCCAAACCCACTAGCTAATAATATCTTGGGCCAAACTGTTGAATGCCAGAATTGAATGATGTAACAGAATTACTCTCTTACTGGCCCTTTTAAAACAAAAAACCAAGAAAAAAAAGCCAGTTTTCTGCAAGAAACTGAACACAAGACAGAACTGTGAACTCTGTCATTACCCTGTGGGCATGGGATTTCTGGAGGGCCTTATGTATGAGTTGCAAATCTTAAGCACCAAACTGAAAATTAGCCAGAATGCTGAGCAACACAAGGAGAGATTTGATGATGCTTGACCATCCAGAGGCAAAACCAGCAGTAAATCAAAACCACTAGATGAGGTGGATGGCATTTGAACCACACACCTGCCAATTGTCTCAACATAATTAGGGTTAGAGATGGCAGAACTAACCATCGTCAGGGACAAGGGAATAGGAAGTGAAGGAGAAATTAAGAGGAACATGAGGAAAGAAGATAAGGAGCTAAGGAGGATGAGGAAGAGATGGTGGAAGAGAGAGGGAGAAGAACAAGAGATTCATGATATTAATCATGCATAAAATTATAATAAAATCATTGTGCATGATTATAATACAATTAATTAATATAATCATCATATAATTAATATTAAGGCAAGCCAGATGATGAAGAACTCTAAATTCATGCCATAGAAGGATTTCTTGAAAGAACTGGGATGTTCAGCCTGGAGAAGACTCTTCCATGCAGGCGACATGGTGGTTGTCTTTCAGTCCTTGGAAGGCTATCATCTGGCAGAAAGGCTAGATTTGCTCTGTCTAGCTCCAGAAGGTAGGAGGCGAAGGCAGGAACCTGCAAAAGAACAAATTTAAACCTGATATCAAGAGAATTTCCTAAAGAACAGAGCTACCCCAAAGTGGAATGAGTTGCCTTAGGCTGCAGTGAGTTTCCTTCTTTGGAGAAAACTTCAAGCAAAGGCTGGATGACCACTTACTGTATATGTTGGAGTGGGGATTTTTTTCCCCCTGGCTTGGACTCAGTGACCTCTGAGGTTCTTTCAACTCTGAGATTTGGTGATTTTGTAAAAATTCAAATTTGATAGCTAAGTCTGCTTTCAGAATACCTAACCTGCATAGAGGGAAATACACAGTAATCATACAACTTGAAAAAAAGGATTACAGCAAGTTTCTCTGATAAAGGCCTCATTTCTCAAATATATAGAGAATTGAGTCAAATTTATAAGAATACAAGTCATTTCCCCAATTTATAAATGGTCAAAGGATATGAACAGGTATTTTCATATGAAGTAATCAAAAATATCTATAGTCATATGAAAAAAAAATGCTCTAAATCACTATTGATTAGAGAAATGCAAATTAAAAGAACTCTGAAGTACCACCACTTACCTGTCAAATTGCTTAATAGGACAGAAAAGGAAAATGACAAATGTTGGAGGGGATGTGGGGAAAATTGAGACACTGATGTGCTGTTGGTGGAGTTGTAAACTGATTCAACCATTCTGGAGAGCAATTTGGAACTATGCTCAAAGGGCTATAAAACCATGCATACCCTTTGACCCAGCAATATCATTACTAGGTCTTTATCCCAAAGAGATCAAAAAACAAAAAGGAAAAGGACCTATATGTACAACAATATTAATAGCAGCTCTTTCAATGGTAGCAAAGAATTGGAAATTGAGGGGATGCCCATCAATTGAGGAATGGCTGAACAAGTTGTGGCATACGAATGTAATGAAATACTGTTGTGCCATAAGAAATGATGAGCAAGATGCTTTCAGAAAAACCTGGAAAGACTTGCATGAACTGATGCAAGGTGAAATGAACAGAACCAGGAGAACATTGTACACAGTGACAGCAATACTGTACAATGACCAACTGTGAATGACTTAGCTATTCTCAGCAATACAATGATCCTAAGACAATTCCAAAGAACTCATGATGAAAAATGCTATCCACCTTCAGAGAAAAAATACTGATGGAGTCTGAATGCAGATTGAAGCATACTTTTTTTTTTGCTTTATTTTTCTTGGTTCTTTTTTTTTTTGGTATGTGTTTTCTTTCACAACATGACTAATATGAAAATATGTTTTGCATGACCGCACATGTATAACCTGTATCAAATTGCTTGCCTTCTCAAGAAAGGAAGAGGGGAGGGAGAGAATTTGGAACTCAAAAAAAATGTTAAAATTGTATTTTACATGTAATTGGGAAAAATAAACTTAAATGGAATAAAAAAAGAATATTTAAAAAAATTTTCAAAACCATGAACTATACAGAAAGCTGCTGAAAAAAAAATACTTGGCCTGTGTATTCTGCATCCCTTTTCCAACCATACCTCCTACCCCTGCCTCCTAGTGGCCCCCCAACTGACTTTCAGGAACCCAGTGCCATAAGACTCCCCTCTATCCAAACCTTTTCTGAGACCCTTAATTCAGCTTGAGGTATAAATGAGTAAGACTCCAAAGTCCTCATTTTACAGATGAGGAGGAAGCTGAGCCCTAGGGAGATGAAGTGACTTGCCCAGGGTCACCCAACTAATAAGTGTCTGAGGCAGGATTGGAATCTTGGACTTCCTCAGCCAAGTCGGTTCTCTATTCACTACCCAGCTCTGGGTTCTCAGCTTCACCTCTCCGCAGTGCCGCTAAATCATGGTACCGAGAACGCAGAGTTTTCTCAAAACACCTTGATCTCAAACACAACTAGGTTCCAATTTTGGTCCCCCTTCACCCCGCCTCCCCAGCTCCCCAGTGCCTGTTTTCTAGAGGAGGAGGAAACAGGAGAGAAAAATTCTTTAGTTCAACTGCTTCTACATACTCCCCAAATGTCTCTGCTCCCCTGCTGGGCAATCTGCGGGATCTGGAAGGGGCATTAGGGGACTTGGCACAGCTTCCTGAACGGTAAGAGAAGGGCTGTGAGCAGCCTAGGCTGAGAGCTGCAGCAACCAAGATGTTTTAAGTGCGCTGGAATGTCTAGCCGGCAGGACTGCACTTTGTTCTGCCCCGAGAGGGGTGGGAGTTGGAGGTGGAGCCCCGGAGGGGGGTGGCGGTGGAGACTGGGGAACGCATTGGGACTTGGAGGCTCTCCAGCATTCCATCTGGCTGATCTCCTTTGCCCGGCTCACGCTGCATTCCTAAAGAACTGCGGATGGGAGGAGGAGAAGGATGTCCCAGAATCACCGAATCTCTGATGGCTTTTGGAAGACATCTAGGTCAATGCCTACCTGAGAAGTAATCTCTCCAGCATCCCCGATAAATGGCCGTACTTCTAGCTGAATACCTCCAGGGAGAGGGAAACCACTGCGTTTGGAAGCAGGCCCTTCCTCTAGTTTAGGGAATCTCAGCCTTTTCTGTGTCACAGACCCCTTTGGCAGGGATTACTGCTATCCCTATTTTACAGTTGAGAAAACTGAGGCAGATAGAGATTAAGTGATTTGCCCTGGGTTAGATAGTGAATATCTGATGCTGGATTTGAACTCAGGTCTTCCTGACTCCAGGCCCAGCACTCTATCCACTGTGCCAACTAGCTGCCCTCTAATGCTCTCATTTAATCCCCACAGCTCTGTAAAGTAGGTGTTATTATTATCCTTGTTTTACATAAAAGGAGACTGAGGCTCAGAAATGTGAAGTGACTTGTCAAAGGTCAGACAAAACTAGTAAGTATCAGAGGAAAGATCAAAACCGCCTCTTTTCTGACTCCAAGTGCAGTGCTCTATCAGCTAGACACAACCTGTTTCCAGTCTTTCAAGGTTTATTGTTTCCCTTGACAAAATGGCCTTCTTCCACTTCTTCACACACCTCATTTCCCACCTGTATGCCTTTGCATAGGCTCTCACCCCATTCCTGAAATGTACCCCTTCTTTTACTCTGTCTCAGGTCAGCCTCTCAGAATACCCAAGCTCCCTGCAAAGTACAGCTCAAATACCACCTCCTGAGCCCTTAGCTGCTGACACTTCCCCTGGAAATTATATTGTATATGCTTCATGCACAATTGCCTATACTCCTATGGGAGCAAGATGGTCCTCCTGTGAGACTATAAGCTACTTGAGGGCAGGCTCTGTTTCATTTTTGTCTTTGTGTTCTCAGTAACAAACACTTAAAAAATGCTGACAAATACTGAACAATGCACAGGGCAATGTGTGCTCTCGGTTCTCCAGGAATGGCATAAACAACACTAAGAGAAAATATAGGGTGTGGACACATTCCTGCCCTGGGAGGGAAGAAAACAGAAGAGGGAGGGACCAAACCAGAAGAGGAAAATACATTAGGCTGAGAAACAGCCAGAGCCTTGATGCTGAAATCTCCTGCTTCTCTTCCTACCCTGTGTTTTTCATTCTCATTTGCCAGTTGGGATGCTTAAAGATAAAAAGGATGTTAGAAGTGATCAATTACAACAATTTATATATTTTTTTAAAAAATTATTCTTGCTGATGTCTTTCTTACATAACATTCATATCCAAATATATCCTTTACCCATTAATCTTTGCCTCAAGCAATCCTTTGCAAAAAAAAATGTTAAAAGAAATAGAGAAAAAAACCCACAAACTTCCTCATTTTTACAGGTGAGAAAACTGAAACTGGAAAAGTTACATGATCTCTGCCCACCCCTTTACTGTGTCTTTTTCTGGTTTCTCATTTTCCTGCCCCTTCCTGTCCCTGTTCTTCACACCTGTCAGATGGACTAATATGACAGAAAAGGAAGATGAAAAATGTTGGACAGGATGTGTGAAAATTTGGACACCAATGCATCATTGGTGGAGTTGTGAACTGATCCAACCATTCTGGAGAATAATTTGGTACCATGTCCAGAGGGCTATAAAACTGTACATATCTGTTGACCCAGCAATGCCACTACTAGGTCTATATCCCAAAGAGATCAAAGAAAAGGGAAAAGATTCTATATGTACAAAAATATTTATAGTAGCTCTTTTTGTATGTGGCAAAGAATTGGAAATTGAGGGGATGCCATCTGAATAAGTAGTATGTGATTGTGATGAAATACTATTATGCTTAAGAAATGATGAGCAGGATGATTTCAGAAGAACCTGGAAAGATCTATATGAATTGCTGCAGAGTGAAGTGAGCAGAGCCAGAAGATCATTGTACACAATAACAGCAGTACTATATGTTCAACAACTATGAACGACTTAACCTATTCTCAGCAATACAACGATCCACGACAATTCTGAAGGACGTACGATGAAAAATGCTATCTACCTCCAGACAAAGAACTGATGCAATCTGAATGAAGATTGAAGCATACTATTTTTTATTTTATTATTCTTGGGGTTTGGGGGGGATTTTTGGTCTGTATTTTCTTTTGCAGCGTAGTTAACACAGAAATACATTTTGCATGACTGTGCATGTATAATCTATATCAAATTGCTTGCCTTCTCAAGGAAGGAAGAGGGGGGAGTAAGGGAGGGAGAGAATATGGAACTAAAAAAAATTTTTAAATAAATGTTTAAAATTTTTGTTTACATGTAATTGAGAAAAAATAAAATGAAAATTAAATGTAAGAAAATTAATAAATAAAAATAAATGTTCCCCAAGATTTTGTCCTTGACTCTTTCCTCTTCTGTGTATTACTCTCTTCCATAGTGATCTCAGCAACAAGCACCTACTGAAGACCCTTCTACATGCTAAATGCTGGAAATACAAAAGGAAGGCCAAAGACAGCCCATGCTCTTAAGGACCTTGCAATCTAATGAGATTTCATAAAATTCCATGTCTTCAGTGATTAGCTCAGTGTAGGTGTTTCTCAAATCTTTATATCCAGCCCCTATCTCTCCCCCAGAGTTCTAGTTCTGAATTCCCAGACGACTCTGGGGCAGCTAGGTGGGGCAGTTGATACAGCACTGGCCCTTGAGTCAGGAGGACCTGAGTTCAAATCTGGCCTTGGACACATAATACTTGCTAGCTGTGTTGACTCCTGGGCGAGTCGCTTACCCTCAATTGCCTCACCAAAAAAACAAACAAAAAAACCCAAATAGATTACTCCGCATTTTCCAAGAAGTTAGACTTTTCTCCCCATATGTGCCCCCCCATACTTCATACTCAACATGTCCAGACTGACATCACTATTTTTCCCTCCCACCTAGTTTTCTTCAGGGTACCCAGGGTTCCCAATCACACAGGCTCATAACAATGGAGTCATCCCTAACTTTTCTCTCTCCTTCCCTTCCTCCTCATCACATCTAATTGCTGGCCAAGCTTCCACTTTGACAATCATTCTCATTCATTGCCTTCTTTCAACTTCCATTGTAACCATTCTAGTTCAGAAACTCGTATCTCCCCTAGGTTATTGTAATAGCCTAACTGGTCTTTCTGATTTCTACCTTGCCAACACTCCCTAATCCATCTTACATGCCACTGCCCTCTCATCATGTCAGTCCTTTATCCAAAACCTTCAGTGGCTGCCCATTGCCAACAAATGAGGAGTTTTAACTCCTCATGCTGGCATTCAAGGCTCTCCAGAATCTGGATCCTCTCTCTCTTTTCAATTTTGTGAGTCACTAGAAACAAACAAACATTGACTTTGAGACCTGAGGGCTTTGGTTAGAATCCAAGATCTGCTACTTAACACCTGGGTGATCTCCCCTCATGACTACCCCTCTCTAGACCTCAGTCTCCTCCTCTGTAAAATGAAGGGGTTGGCCTAGATTAGAGTTGTGGGCCACTGAACCCTACATAAGGGTTTCTGTGGCAGCATACTGACTTTTTGTTGATCACAGTTGTGTCCCACTCTGCAAGAGCCATGGGCTTTGTCCATGGGATTTTCTTGGCAAAGACACTAGAGTGATTTGCCATTTTCTTCTCCAATGTGGCAAATAGAGGTTAAGTAACTTGCCCAGGGTCACACAGCTAGCAAGTGTCTAAGGCTGGATTTGAACCCAGGACTCCAGGTCCCAGTCCTCTATCCACTGCACCATCTAGCTGTCCATACATTGACTTATAAAACTGCATATTCACATAGTATATGTTGTATTCTTATCTATTTTGTTAAATACTTATCAATTACATTTTAATCTGGTGGGCTGCACTGTGGCCTGCCTACATCATGTTTGATACCTCCAGCTTAGGTGATCTCTAAGGTCCACAACCCATACTCTATGGGTTTTGATCTCTCATTCCCCCCTTTCCCAAACATCCTGTTTCAGTTAAATTGGATTACTATTCACTCCCCACCCCCCATCATCCCGTTCTCTCCTGGCTTCATGCTTTTGTCCACAACAACTGCCTGGAATCAAAGGCAAGTTTAGATATAACCTGATGTCCCAGTGGCCCGTTTCCATAGTGGAGTTGCCTAGGGTCCAGAGACCTCCAGGAACAGGAGTGCTTTCCCAGTCTCTGGGGAGATATTGCTCCCCCTCCCAGCTCCACCCCCCATTACTATAGATGACCACTATTCCTGCTGAGCAGCTAGGAGGCACAGTGGATAGAGTGCCAAGCCTAGAGTCAGCAAGACTCATCTTCCTGCGTTCAAATCTGGCTTCAGACACTTACCAGCTGTATGGCCCTGGGCAAGTCAAATAACCGTTTGCCTTAGTTTCCTCATCTGTCACATGAGCTGGAGAATGAAATGGCAAACCACTCGAGTATCTTTACCAAGAAAACCCCAAATAGAGTCACGAAGAATCAGACAAGACTGAAAAAGAACTGAACAATAACATCCCTGCTGCGCTTGCATATCACATTTACTTCCCCTCTGCTGTTTCCAGACTTCTTCTCAAGAGGAAGAAAGAGGCATTTCTGGTGACTTAGCTGTCCCACAGCCTGGGGCCTCACTAGACCCTCTTCCAGACCCTCTTTCATGGCCTCACCTTCTCCTGTTGAGAGCCCAGGTTTTGTCAGGCTGTGTATCTTCCTCCTTTCCATCCACAGGAAGTAGACTGTATCCAGATTTTGGAGGCGCCTTGAATGCCAGGATGAGCACTTTATAGTTTCTTTGAAAGGCAGTATGGAGCTACTGAAAGATTTTTGGGTAGAAAAGTCACACGATCAAAGGGCAGTGGTGTGTAGGATGGATTGGAGAGTACTGGAGAGTAGGAAAGAGGAACAGTTAAGATTCTGCCTAAGTATCTGTCTAGGGACTCCAGATTAGGGAAAAATCAACTAGACCTTTTCCCCCTTTGCCTATTCTAGTCACTTGTTTTTCATGGCTCAGCCTTAGTCCCTGAGGCTTTGGATGGTATGGGACAGGAAAGCAAAAAGTTAACATTTAAAATTTTTAAAAGCTGTATCTCTGGTCATTAGTCCTTAAACTCTACTGCCCACTCTTCAAGGCAAAGTGAGGTGCTAGAGGAGCAGGGCCTAGTTGGAAAGATGCCAATTTAGCTAAGAGAACAAGGCTGTAAAAGTTGTTTTGTATTTTAGGGTAAGGGGAAGATTTAATTAAAAGGAGACTTTGCACTGTTAAAAATGTATTAATTATTTAAAAATTAAATTTAGTTAAATTTTAATTTATTTGCTTTAATATACAAAAACAATGTCCTTTATGATTGAATATAATAAATGCTCACCTGAAAAGAAGAAAGAGAGGAGAACAGAAAAGAAGAGGAGAAGAGAATGAGAAGAGAGGGGAGAGAAGAGAAGAGATGTAAGAGAAAAGGAGAGAAGAGAAGAGAAAAGGAAAGAAGAGAAGGAAGAAGAGAGAAGAGAAGATAAGAGAAGGGGGAGAAGAGAAGAGAACAGAACAGAACAGAACAGAACAGAACAGAACAGAACAGAACAGAACAGAACAGAACAGAACAGAACAGAACAGAACTGAGAGAAGAGAGAAAAAGGAAGCAGAGAGGGGAGGGGGCGGGGGAGAGGAGGGAAAGAGAGGGAGAGGAGACTCCTTGGGTGTATACCTTAAAGAAATGCGCTGCCAACACCCATACCTGGAATGGAATCCCCGCTCTCTTTACTGAAGTTGCTACCTTCCTTCAAAGTGTAATTTAGGTATCACCTCCACTGTGAAGTCTTGCCTAAGTTCTTCCTCCCTCCTCCCTCTGCCAGATGAAAACAATCTCTCCCTTCTCAGATTTCTCAAAGGATTTTGGACTTTGGACCTCACCTTTGCAGTTATCACAGTTTCCAGTAACCCAAGTTATTTGTGTAGGCAGTCCACTTATCCCTCTATTACATTGTGAGCTGATGAAAGGGAATTGTAAGGTACCCCTATAGTTTGCTGCTGGTTCTAAGGCAAATCACCCCCAAATTTTGTGGCGGTGGTGGGGAATCTTAAATCAGCATCAGGAGCCGCTTGAAAAAGGGACAGAAATCACACAAGGGAGCCTTCAAATGATTCACTAACTGAATAAATGAATGAGTGAAAGGATAAAAATGTATTAAATGCTTATATGTGTAAATAACATGCACTAAGTGCTGGGGATGCTGCAAGGAAAAGAAGACAGTCCCTGCTCTCAAAGAGCTCACATGCTAATTGAGGAGACAACAGATGCATGGAAGGTCTCCGTCGTAAGGCAAGCAAATAGTTATGCTTTTTTAACGGAATCTCCACTAATAAAATCCTATTGTTTTCTGGTGTTGGGCTACTTGATAGTGCCAAGGTCTTTGGGGACCAGGACTCTTCTTTTCTGGGTCTTTGGTATCTGGTTCCTGAAGGACCAACCACCAGGCTGCCTCTTCAAAGGGGCTGCTCTCCAACATGCTGGATGTGGGCACTGGGCGGGAAGATTGACATTCCCAAGGCTCTTGGGCTGTCTCCCTCAGGATGGAAAGAGAGACGGTGGTTAAGGCAGTGGGCAGTCTGATTTACTGGCACAACAGGACGCTGTCACCTCCTTTTTCTCCCTCAGGGTACCTTTCTGCTTTGGCCAGGCTGGCTTGTCTACTCTGCAGGGGCAATTAGTTGGCTGCCAGTTAATGGGGATGGTTGACCCCTTCTCCACAGGGGCTGCTTCCCCAGATGATGGCTGTGAGGGCTGGACTGGAAGCAGGACCACTGGTCTGGGGAGGAGGGCATCCTGCTGCTCTTAGGCTGGTATGAAAGATGGACCCTTAATCACAATGATTTCTTTCCTCAGTGATGGCTTTTAGAGCTGCACTGAAAACAGTCTGAGAAGGGTAAGAGGATTACTGTTTGGGAGGAGACTACAAGTATATTTCTTTTTTTTCTTTTTTTTTTTTAATTAATTTATTTGGGGGCAGCTAGGTGGCACAGTGAATAGAGCACTGGCTTTGGATTCAGGAGGACCTGAATTCAAATCCAGCCTCAGACACATAACACGCACTAGCTGTGTGACTCTAGGCAAGTCACTTAACCCCAATTGCCTCACCCCCCAAAAAAAAATTAATTGATTTTGAATTATCAACAATCACTTCCATAAGCTTTTGAGTTTTAAATTTTTCTTCCCCTCCCTTTCCCCCTCCCTCCCCAAGATGGTGCACAATCTGATATAGGCTATGCATACACATTCCTATTAAACATATTTTCACATTAGTGATGTTTTAAGTAAGAATTAGAACCAATAGGAGGAACCACCAGAAAGAGGAAAAAAAACACAGCAAAGAAAAAACATAGCGAATAGTATGCTTCGATCTGTATTCAAACTCCAGAGTTCTTTCTCTGGATGTGGATAGCATTTTCCATCACGAGGCCTTTGGAGATGTCCTAGATCCTTGTATTGCTGAGAAGGGTTAAGTCTATCAAAGTTAGTCATAGCACAATGCGGCTGTTATTGTGTACGAAGTCCTCTTGGTTCTGCTCACTTCACTCAGCATCAGACCATACAAGTCTTTCCAGGTTTTTCTGAAGTCAGCCTGCTCATCATTTCTTATAGCACAATAGTATTCCATTACCTTCATATACCACCACTACAAGTATGTTTCAAAGTTCAACTGTAATAACCAGCTTATTCTAGGAGCCAGATAACTAACTAACTAATAACAACATTTATATAGCACTTACTATATGCCAGGCACTGTGCTCAGCACTTCACAAATACCTCATTTGATCCATACAACAACGTTGGGAGGTGGGTGTTATCTTTATTCCCATTTTACAGATGAGGAAACTGAAGCAAACAGAGGTTAAGTGACTTGTCCAGGGTCAATAGCTAGCACGTTTCTGGGGCTGGACTTAAAGTCAGGTCTTCTTGACTCCAGGACCAGTGTTCTACCTACTGTGCCACCCAGGTGCCCCATCTATTTCTCTGCTCTTTTAACTCAGTTTTGTTCTGTTTTCATTTTTAGAAATTAAATGTTGTGTTACCATTTTTAGAAAGGCAGCATGGTGATTGTGGCTGTGAAATCTCAGGTTTAATCTCTACTGCTTCATTTTTTAATTGTCCATTGCTCTGAAAAATTATTTTTTAGCTTTATAAGCCACTTCAAATACTTTTTGGAAATTTATAGAATATGAACTTTTTGAGTCTAGACCCATTATGAGAGTTCCCAATGTGGAAACCCCCACACACAGCAATTCTTTTGTAACTTTGTCCTAGAAAATTGCCCAAATTAGATCACACAGTTAGTACTGGTCAGCAGCATGACTTGAACTCTTCCCAACTCCAAAGACAGAGCTTTACCCGATATCATGTTACCTTTTAGAGCATGGATGATAAATAAATGAAGTAACGGTTGGATATATGGATGGATGAATAAAAGAATAAATAAATGCATGAATGAAGGATTTAATAAATAATAGTATATATGTGTACATACCTGGATTTTTTTTGTTTGTTGGTCTGTTTTTTAGCACTAGATGGCAAGAATCCTCCTCCTCCTCCTTCCCACTACTGTCTTCCTGAGTTGCCCTCCTTGCCTCTGGTTTTTAACTATGCTTAAACCCCCCAAATGCAGAGCATGGGGAAACTGCCCTGATTTACAGTACTCTGTGAAAGACTCTACCAGAAAGATACTGTCCTGAGGGCAGAGCCAAGATGGCAGAGTAAAAGCAGCAACTTGCTTGAGCTGTCCCCCAAACCCCTCCAAATACCTGTAAAATATGGCTCTAAACAAATTCTAGAGCAGAAGAACCCACAAAAAGACAGAGTCAAACAAATTTCTAGCTCAAGACAACCTGGATGGTTGATGGGAAAGGTCTATTGAGAGGGAGCACAGTTCAAGCATGGGCCACCTAGGCAAAGACCAGGCCTCAACGAACCCACAGCAGGCCTCAGGGGACTGAATGACTAGCAGTTGTGGTTTCCAGACTTCTCAACCCACAAACGCCAAAGACAACTTAGAAAGTCAGCAGGAAAGATCTGTTGGACCTGAGTGAGAGAGGAAGGCAGTCCAGCCCTAGTTCTGGCACAGCCTTGGGGTGGTAGCTGTTTCCGGAGATCTTGGCCAAAGACAGTGGGAAGATCGAGTGACTGGTCAGAGGAGGGTGGCAGGGATCTCTTTGCTGGTGCTGAGGCAGGATTCTCTTGCTTTGCCCATGTTTGGATCCGGGTCGCAGTTCTGGGATGTGGTCGGGGGGTGAGGAGGAGCACTAGCATGGTAGAGCTTGGAGTGGTGGTAGAGAAAAAATCCTCCTCATCGTTCCAAGGCAGAAAAGAGTGCTTGTGGTCACTCATAGACCAGAGCACAGGCCAGGCAAGGAGTAACTGATCATACCACCTTGGAAGAACTGAATATTTACAGGTCTCTAGAAGTGTCTCTGAAAACAGCTGCACAAAACCCCAGAAGCTTGGGACAGTACACCCTCCACACTGGAAGCAGAGCCCTACCTTAACAAAAAGTTTAAAACTCAAGTAATTGGCTGGGAACATGAGCAAATGGCACAAAAAACTCAGACTATAGAATCTTACTTTGGTGACAAAGAAGATCAAAACATACAACCAGAAGAAGACAACAAAGTCAAAGCTCCTACATCCAAAGCCTCCAAAAAAAAATGAATTGGTCCCAATCATGGAAGAGCTCAAAAAGGATTTTGAGAAACAAGTAAGAGAAGTAAAACAAAAAGTGGTAAGAGAAATGAGAGTGATGCAAGAAAATTGTGAAGGGGCAGCTAGGTTGCACAGTGGGTAGAGCTCCACCCTTGGAGTCAGGAGGATGTGAATTCAAATCCAGTCTCAGACACATGACACTTACTGGCTGTGTGACCCTGGGCCAGTCACTTAACCCCCGCCCCCAAAAAAAACCATGAAAAACAAGTCAACAGCTTCCTAAAGGAGACCCAAAAAAATACTGAAGAAAATAACACTTAAAAAAAAAAAGATTAATCCAAATGGCAAAAGAGGTCCAAAAAGCCAATGAGGAGAAGAATGCCTTCAAAAGCAGAATTGGCCAAATGGAAAAGGAGGTCCAAAAGCTCGCTGAAGAAAATAATTCCTTAAAAATTAGAATGGAGCAAATGGAAGCTAATGACTCTATGAGAAATCAAGAAATTAAAACAAAACCTAAAGAATGAAAAAATAGAAGACAATGTGAAATATCTCTTTGGAAAAACAACTGATCTGGAAAACAAATCCAGAAGAGTTAACTTAAAAATTATTGGACTACCTGAAAGCCATGATCAAAAAAAGAACCTAGATGTCATCTTTCAAGAAATTATTAAGGAAGGAAAACTTCCCTGATATTCTTGAACCAGAGGGCAAAACAGAAATTGAAAGAATCCATCAATCACCTCCCGAAAGAGATCCCAAAAGGAAAGCTCCCAGGAATATTATAGCTAAATTCCAGAATTCCCAGGTCAAGGAGAAAATATTGCAAGCAGCCAGAAAGGAACAATTCAAGCATTGTGGAAACATAATAAGGATAACACAATATTTAGCAGCTTCTGCATTAAAAGACCAGAGGGCTTAGAATATGATATTCCAGAGGTCAAAGGAACAAGGATTAAAACCAAGAATCACCTACCCAGTAAAACAGAGTGTAATCAATGGGGAGAAAATTTATATTCAATGACAAAGAAGAATTTAATGCATTCTTGAGAAGCCAGAGCTAAATAGAAAAACTGATTTTCAAATACAAGACTCAAGAGAAGCATGAAAAGGTAAACAGGAAAGAGAAATCATAAGGGACTTAATAAAGTTGGACTATTTACATTCCCACATGGAAAGATGATATTTGTAACTTATGAGACCTTTGTCAGTATTAGGGTAGTAAGAAGGAGATATAGAT